ATGATTTAAAAATTGACTTATGCTAATGCCAGCTGGGCAAGATGATTGGGGATGAAATAAGAGTTTGTATTTAACTTGCTTAATATTGGATGGTGCCTCATTCTTAATAGCTACTCACTGAATGTTAATTTATCTTCCAGACATGCTTTCAAGTTTATTCTTTTAAAAATAGGTGGAAAGCAGAGACACACACACAGAGAGAGAGAGAGAGAGAGAGAGACAGAGACAGAGACAGAGACAGAGAGAGAATGTGTGAATGAATATATCATCCATTTTTTGGTTCACTCCCCATATACATACATCTGTTTTATGTTAGACCAAGTTGAAGCCAGGATCCAGGAACTCAGTTCCATCCCTGGATACTAGTAGAAGAACCCAGGTGGTGGAGTGAATACCTGCTGCCTCCTCGAATTCACATTAACAGAAATCTAGGATTGGAAATGATGTAGGAACCTGAACTTAGTTATTCCAGTATGGGATGCAGGAATTTCAGGGACATCTGAACTATTGTGACATATGACTGCCTTTCAGTTTTTTTTTTAATTGGAAAGTCAGATATACAGAGAGGAGGAGAGACAGAGAGAAAGATCCTATGTCCAAACTCACTCCCCAAGTAGCCACAAGTGGCTGGAGCTGAACCGATTTGAAGCCAGGAGCTAGGAAGACCTCCAAGTTTCCCATGTGGGTGCAGTGTCCCAAGGCTTTGGGCTGTCATCAGCTGCCCTCCCAGGCCACAAGCAGGGAGCAGTATGGGAAGCAGAGCCAGTGGGATCAGAACCAGTGTCCACATGGGATCCAGGGTGCTCAAGGTGAGGACCCCAGCTGCTAGGCCCCTTTTCAAATTTTTATGAAACAAAATAAAACAAAACAAGTTTTGTTAAAGAAGATACTATCTATTCTGATAAGCTATTGTTGGTGTTCCTATTTATAGATACTACAATGATTACTTCAAGCTCAATAGACAGGAATCTAGGCTATCCAGAGTTTTAATTCAGTACCCTGCCGTGCTGGCCTAAAACAAGAAATGAGCTGACAATCAGGGCAGACTCCAGATGCTAAGGACCACATTTATGCTTAAGGGATTATTATTGTAGAAGAAAATTTAATTACAATACTGACCTTTTTGCATGTAAGATAGTGTTAGTCCATTTGGATGAATGTGGATTAACATTCAGAATAACCAAGGTTACTCAGTCAAAGGTTTGAAAGCAAATGCTTCCCTTCCTCTTCATGTGGCATCCATAAACATTTATTTATGTGGTCAGTTGCTAAATCTATGCTCAACTACTAGGTCTTTAAAATATGCTTGTAAATTCCCCTTTAGTAGCCAGACATTTTGTTCCCTTGTCTTTCAAATTTTGGGGGGTTGGGTTGTTTAAAATTCTAAGTTATTTAAAACCCAGATGAATATGTAATGAGACATTCATGCATCTTCCAGTTGCCGGTTTTCAATTACTTCAGTGACACTGAAGGATAAAAAAGATGCAAATGGCTATTTCTTATGAGTTTAATCCTCGTGACCTGATATATCTTATCATTTGGTTTGGTAATTAGACTTTTCTGATATTGTTGTAAAATACACATCAATTGTGAAGGGAAGAAGTCATTATTTACTATTAGGGGTGGGGATTACGCTCATTTTTCACTGCCCTTACCTGGGAATCAAGGACAGAATGAAGCAATTTTATCTTGGAAGCCTGTGCCTGTTGTGATTCTGGGATGGAACAAATAGCCATGAAATTAATCTGAGGATGTTCAATCAGTGTCTTGCCAAGGCTTGGCTGGTATCATCTTGTTGTATAAAGTATAGCTTTCCAGGCTCTCAGCTTCCTCATGAGCATGAGAAAATCTGGGCAACATTTGTCCCTGTTACACATTATCTTGTAAAGGGTGAGGACAGGGACCAGTAGAAAACAAATTAATGAAGGGGGAAATGTATTTTGAAGCCAAGGGACTATAAATATTACAGTTCTGTCAGTGCTGTATTTATGACACTTAATGTGAGTTGGAAAATAACTTGTGTAAGTATAGTTCTGGGAAAAAGAAGAGAATAGGTAAATATTGACTCAAATTTTGTATAACAAGTCTAATGAAAAAAAAACTAAATGTTGGGTGGAGGTCAGTTGTTTCAAGGGATAAGGTAGTCTTTGTTGCTAATGATTAGTTCAACTAATACTTAACAGAGTTCTCGCTAAATATCGTACTCTCCTGAAAAGTAAACATTATTTCCAACTTTCTTAGGCTAGGAGAAGGTGGCTGTTTTGATCCAGTGGTTAAGATGTTGCTCGGGATGCCTGTATCCCATGTTGAAGTGCCTCCATTCAAGTTGCTGCACTACTTACATGAGTTTCCTGCCAGTGTGCATCCTGGAAAGCAGCATGTGGTCAGGCAAGCATCTGAATCCCAATAACCACATGGGAAACCTGAACTGAAATGTGGTTGTCTGGTTTCCTGACTTTGGACTGGCTCAGCCTTGGTTGTTGCGTGTATTTGCTAGGAGGGCAGGTGAACCAACGCTTGGAAGATTTTCACTCTTTCTCTCTCTGTCAAGTAAAATCAAATAAATAAATTAATAAATAAATAAAACTTCTTTTAGATATTTATTTTTATTTGAAGGACTTTATAGAGAGGAGAGACAGAGAAGAGTCTTCCACCTACCAATTCACTCCCAAAGCAGTTACAAACAGCCAGAGCTGAGCTGATCTGAAGCTGGGAGCCATGAGCTTCTTCCTGGTTTCCATGTAGATGCAGGGGCCCAAGGGCTTGAACTATTCTCTGTTGCTTTCTCCAGTCATAATCAGGAAACTGGGTCTGAAGTGGAGTAGCTGTCACTGGAACCAGCATCCATATGAGATATCACACTGCAAGGTAGAGAATTAACCTGTTGAATCACAAGGTCAGCCCTGGTAAATAAATCTTTGAACAGAGAAAAGTTTCAGTAGATTCAAAAGGTAACAACTATATTTATATAGAAATGCTCTGCATATTTAATACATTTGCTTAATGCATTAAATAGCATATTTTTTACGATTTAATAACTATTTGTTTCAGAATGCTTTCAAATTTATATGGCAAAATTGTAAAGTTGTACTACAGAGACTTCTAAAACATTCTGGACCCCAGCAATTTGTTTGCTAATAGACTGTAAAACCTCAAATAAATAGGTGAATTTCTGAATATGGCACTGGCATTAACTGGCAATTGTGTGCCAGTTCATTTCTGGCTGCTGCTTCACTTCTTTATATATATATATAAATATATATATAAATATATAAAATATATATAAATATATATAAATATATATATATAAATATATATATATACTGCTTCACTTCTTTATATATATATATATACACACACACACACACACACACACACACACACATATATGATTTATTGATTTTTATTGGAAAGGCCAACATACGGAGAGGAAGATCCTACATCCACTGATTCACTCCTCATACAGTCACAATGGCTCAAGCTGCACCAATCAGAAGCCAGGAGCCTGTAGCCTATTCCGGGTCTGTAACATGGGTACAGGGTCCCAATACCTTGGGCTGTCCTCGACTGCCTTTCCAGGCCACAACTAGTAAGATAGATGGGAAGAGGGGCTGCTGGGATCAGAACCGGTGCCCACATGGGATCCTGGCACACAAGCCACTAGGCTACTGTGTTAGGCCTCTGTTCCACTTCTCATACAGCTCTGGGCTAATGACCTGGGAAAGCAAGGAAAAATGGCTTAAATGTTTAGGCCCGTGCCACCATGTAGGATACCCAGAAAAAGCTCATTATGTCTTTTGTTTCACCCTGACTTAGCCCTGGTTATTAAGGATATTTGGAGAGTGGAAGATTTCCTTCACCTCGCTCTCTCTCTCTTTTGTCTTCCTCTTTCTATATGTAACTCAGCCTTTAAATAAATACATAAATACTTAAAAATTTTCTAAGTATGTAAAACTTTCCAGGATTAAATCTAGGAGATATAGAAAATCTAAATAGATTCATAATACTGTGGCTGAAGGCATAATTAATGGCCTCCACCGAAGAAAAGTCCAGGATAGATTAACTGTATTCTACAGGAAATTTAAAGGTAAACTAAATTGAGTACTTTTTGCTTCTTCAATAACTGAAAAGGCTAGAGCTCTGCCAAAGTCTTTTTAAAAATATATATTTTGTTTCTTTGAAATGCAGAGTGCTAGATTGAGAGAGATTCCATTTGCTGGTTTACTTCCCAGATGGCTGGCCTAAGTCAGGAGTGCTAAACTCAATCTGGGTCTTTCGTATGAGAGGCAGTGTTCCAAGCACTTGAGCTGTATTCTGCTGCTTTTCCAGGTACATTAAAGGAACGCAAGCATCTGGGACTCGTACCGCCACTTTGATATGGTGCATTGGAGTCTCAGGTGGTGGTTTAATCTGCTGCACCACAATGCTGACCGTTCTTACGTGTTAAACATATTTATTTCTTCCTGAGGAAAGAGATTATTCATTATATTACCTTGTAGCCAGTGTGCCTTTACCACAGATTTACCTTCATTGTTTAGAAGGAATTATAAATATCTTCTGTAACAATAGAATAAGCCCTAGATAATAGACAGTTCCACTAAATTTCTCATTTAGTTATTTCTTGAGCGATTCACAAGAATCCCTCCTAAGAAGATCCTTAGACCATTCACTGTTGTTTGAAGAGCAAACTGTGATGATTTGCTGCGAAACAAAACAAAGAAAAACAAAACAAAATGCCCATGAACCATCCTAGGGAAGAATTATAAGTAATTACCACTGAGTGCTGCAGTAGTTTATCATTCCGGTTGATGAAATACACCATCGGTTATGTGATGGGAGATTTAAATGGTAAGTGGGTATGGAGTGTCTGACCAGCATCTCCCTCTTTGTTGCTTACTGTATATAATTCTTCAGACTTAACTCCTTCAACCCCGGAGTACACTCTTTCATTTTACTACTTTTCTACTGTTTCACACTCCAATTAAAGTGTTAATATTTCCTTTTACTGAGATTGCTACTTTATAATATTTATTAATTTGCGCAGGGGCCATGCTAATCTTCTCTGTATCGTTCCAGTTTTAGTATATGTGCTGCATTTGCAAGCTAGTTGGAGGAGGTGAGGGCCTTTACTTCATGCTAATAGAGTGTAACATTTGAATTTTTAAAAAAGATTTATTTTTATTGTAAAGTCAGATAGACAGAATGGAAGAGAGACAGAGAGGAAGATCTTCCATCCGATGATTCACTCCTCAAGTGACTGCAATGGCCAGAGCTGAGCCAATGTGAATCCAGGAGCCAGACTTCTCCCATGTGTGTGCAGGGTCCCAAGCCTTTGCAGCCATCCTCAACTGCTTTCCCAGGCCACAAGCAGAGAGCTGGATGAAAAGCGGGGCTACTGGGAATTAGAACCAGCGCTCATATGGGATCCCAAGCACATTTAAGGTGAGGACTTTAGCTATTAGGCCACTATTCCAGGCCCCCATTTTAGTTTTTTTTTTTTTTTTTTTTTTAACAAAACCAGGAGCCAGGAGCCTCTTCCAGGTCTCCCATGTGGGTACAGGGTCAAAAGAATTTGGGCAATCCTTGATTGCTTTCTCAGACCACAAGCAGGGAGCTAGATGGGAAGCGGGGCTGCTGGTATTAGAACTGGTGCCCATATGGGATCCTGGCATGTGCAAGGTGAGGATTTTAGCTGCTAGTTTACCATAGCAGGCCCAACATTTGAAATTTTAAATGCACTTTCTGTAGTGAGGGAGAGATGTTCTCAACTTGTTTTACTTGAGAAGTGAGAAATCATGAATTGATATTGAAAACTTCAAATATTCCTCTTACTGTAATTCTAGGATTTGTGTCATATAGTTGTAAAAATATATGGCTCTAGATAAAAGCTAAATTGAAAGAATAAACATTTACCTAATGACAGGATATTTGTGTTATTTTATTTTATTATTCACAGCATATAAAAATGATACTTCTGAAGCTGAGAAAGACTCCTTCATGTCCCTGATGGCTGTAATCTGAGTGTTTATGTACCCTTAAAATTCATATGAAGAAATTTTCACTCTATGGGTAGTAGTGTTGGAGAGAGAGGTTTATTTTCATCTGATATATCTACAAAAATTTGAGAATGAGACCCAGATAAAGGCTAGCAGAGGGATAAGATCTGTTAGCAAAGCAGAAGTTCATTATCAAGAGGAATTATGATCATACTCAAGGGTGTGCTGCAGCTTTTGGGCTTATTTCTTTACATGATCTAGGGACATAAGTGGCCATTCATGGTGTGGGATTTTCCAGGAAATTGTGTATATTTCCGGAAATCTGATGACTGTCCATTTTCTGAAATTTTTGGAAAGTTTTGAAAATGCAAAGATATTAAAAGCAAGTAGGAGTGTCAGCTAGAATGTTTGTTTTTATGTTTTTATATGTTTTAAATTTCTATAAAAGTTTTAATTTTACTTTCGATTAGTTTTCAATGTGATTGTTAATCCAATTCTAAGAATGTAATATTATTACCTTCTTTCCTCTCTCCCTCTTTCTTTCCTACCCTCTCTCCCTCCTTTCTTCTATTTGTATTTCAGAATTACATTACAATAACAAGTTTTAATTCTTCACCAAATAAAGTTTAGCATGTAAAATTGTGATTTCAGTGGAAATATAGACAATGACTATAAGCAACAATTGAATGGAAAAATGACCATTTCACCAATGTACAGATAATTTTAAAGTAATCACAATTCCTTAACACTATAGTAGTCAGCCTTCTAGTATAATATGCTAGACTGTGTGTCATTGCAGGGATGCAAGTAACTCTGCCTGTGCTTATTCTAGCAGCACCTTTTCTCTTGCAATTATTTCCTGTTGCAGGGCAAGGGAGGAGTTTGACAGGCAATCATGGGGAAGTTGTGGTAGCTTAGTACCTCTGGCTCTGCTTCTGATTCCTGGTTACCTCCTTTGCTGCTGTATCATCTTTCAGCCTTCAGAGAATTTTTTTTCTCTTTATGGAAGATTTATAAAGGAAAGACCATCCCTAATCTGGTAGGTAATGAAAATCCATTGCTAAATCATGTGGATTCCATTGGAGGAGCTAGAACTTCATAACCAGTTGTTGATTGTGGCTGGAATTCCTGCATGGCACGCATATTTAAATGCAACTATTGAATTCTTCAAGACAAATTGGAAAACTATATTGAGTATACATGGGCTAAAATGAGCAAGGGTAAGGACCATGCAAAGAATGGAGCACATATCTTACTACTTCCAGATAGTTAGTCAAAGAATTTCGTTTCACAAAATCTTGGAGCCACTTAGCTAGATTGATGTCTTTAGCCAAATTGCTCAAGGCAGTAGACAGGTTTCTTGAAGGGACTTTGCAGTACACAGTGAAATTTTTTTTTCTTTTAATAAGAACCCCAGTAATTTACCGAAGAGTATTCCTGGCAATGGCTAGTTCCCAAGAAAGATCCTATCTACAAAGGCTAACAGTCTTAGTCATCTCTCTCTCTCTTTGCGTGTCTCTCTCTGACAGAAGCAAACATTTCATATCTTTTAGCTATTTGAAGATAAACTTGAATGCCTGAATGGCTCACAAGAGTGCACAGAGTTATTCTCTCAGTATTCCTATAAATACTCAAGAGTTCAGTTTTAATTTTTAATAATTATACTCCACTAGAGTCCCTGTAATCTAATTGCAATTAAAGTACTAAGTATGTCCTGATTAATAAAGTAAAATATTAGAAGCATGGTTTAGTGTCTACTTTTGTGCTGACATAACTCTTTGAGGATAGGGGTCTTCAATAGGAATTCATAAAAGTAATTGACAAATCAATATTTTTTAGCTGTATCTTCCAGGATCACCTTAGGCTTCAGGAATGTGATCCTTATATGGGGCGTGGAAGCCACCTAGGTTTCCTTAGATAATGACTGAGGAAACATGAAGTCTTTCTCTTTGTATCTGAGTACCATCTCATTTTCCAACTCTGCTTCCATTTGTATCATGGGCCTGAGCCTGGCGTGTTTTAGATAACAGAAATTCCTTTCACCAATATCGTGATTTCCCACATGCCGAATACTTCTTTTTGGTATTTCTATCCATCTGTGGTTGGATGCCTTGCAGGTTGAGGTGACTCTGCAGGGCACTTGTTACAGTGATTGCTGCAACAGTGACCTATTTTCTGAATCACTTCACACATTGAAAACATATCCCAAAATGTCTGTTTTTCTTATATACATTAAATTTTTTATACTCTGTATATTAAACACCAAAATTCAACAAAAATGGGATTTTTGTCTGTGGTTCTGGCTTATTTCATTCAATGTTGATCTCTAGTTCCATCCATGTGATGCAGAAGTCAATATTTCATTCTTTTTCTTGCTGAGTAGTATGTCATCATATATATACACCATATAATCTTTATCCAATCATTGGTGAAAATGTAGTTGTTCCCTGATGTTAGCTATTGTGAATCAAACTATCTTAAGCATGGGAATACAGAAATGACTGACAATAAGTAAGATCAGATGGGAGATTTCAGCAGAGATGATGACTACAGAAAATAAGAAAATGGAAATAGTTGAGGGGTGTGTTGACTAGTGTGTTGGCTTGCTGGGTTAGGCTGCCACTCATGATACCAGCATGTCATATCAGAGTACAGGTTCTAGTTTTAACTGTTCAGCTTCCAATCCTGTTTCCTGCTTATGTTCTGAAAAGGCAGAAGGGAATATTGCAGAAATTGGGCCTCTGCTACTTTTGTGAGAGACCAAAATGAAATTTCTGGCTCCTGATTTACACCAGGGCCACATGGATTCATTCTGGGAGCGAACAAGTGGATGGAACATTTCTCTGCATATGAGTATCTCTTTTTCTCCCATTTGTCATTCATCTTTCAAATAAATAAAAGCAAATATAACATGACAATATTTGAAGGGAAAAGATAACAATAGAGATAAAAATATCTTTGACCACTTTATTAATAAACTCAATGCAGTTGATAAGTCAGTAAATGTGAAAGTTTATTAGCAGAAGTTGTCCATTCTAAAGTACAAAAAAAAAAAATAGTGGGGACAGAGGTTAACAAGCAAGAAATGTAGGAAAATGCCAAATTATATAATAGAAAATCAACTTGAGAGCTAGCATGAGAAGGCATGCTTGATTAAAAAAATACTTTGGCAAAAAGAGACAAAATAAAGATTAAAAGCAAATATTTTAGAAATAACATGCTTTCTGAAATTAATAATACTCAAAGCCTATATCTGAGCATTTCAAGGAATGTCAGATAGGATCAATGAAAACAAAAAGTGCTGAAAACTGCTGAAAAGTAAGAAAAGCAGAGTAGATTTTCTTTGCTAGATAAACAAGTTTTACATAAACAGGGTTAGAAACAAAAGTTAAGAAACTGCACATACCAAGCAAGCAAGGGTGCATTTTTAAAAATGACATCTTGAAGCCCTGAAGTTACATGAAATTGTCAATTCAAAAATTCTATACTCAAGAATTTTAAAAAAAATTAAGTGAAAGAGAAAACATTCTCTAACAAAAAATGTTGAAACTCATTCTCAGAATCTGATTTATTATAAATATTAAACCAAGTTTTCCTGACTGAGTAATTATGACGTAAGACTGAAAATGAAATCTACACAAAGCAGGAAGTAAGTCAACACTGACAACACAATAGCGACATAATACTTTATAATTTAATAGCTCTAAAATTATGACTATACCAAGTGAAAACAGTTGTAAATTTGGAAAATAGGATTATGTATGAGAAGTCAATATACCCTTTACATATAGACTGGAAATGTTCTCTTCAGTTGAGTGACACAACAGAGTATAAGTACTCTAGCAACAGTGTGAAGTGGACTTGTGCCTTACTCATCCTACGCTGTGATCTGGAGTTTGGGCTGGTATGACAGTCACTCAAAGCTTCCCAGTACTCATTTTCTTAGTATGCAAGTGGTATTGCACAATTCAGATCACTTCTTCATGTTTTAACAGGATAACTTTATATAACCTTCTGTTTCTTATTCAGGAAGAGTGACAGAGCATTTAAGAAAGGCGGGGGAGTAACAGACAGTTGTGCCCATGTTCACCCATACATGCATACAT